TAATACAACTCAATGCACGACATATGAGTATATAGTGCTTAACATAATAATTAATATTATTATACATTTTACAAAATATCAATAATAATAACTATTAATTATATTATTATAATTAATATCCAATTTAGTAATTGTACACGGGCATAATAATAATTCATTTTTGTTTAAAATGCTAATTTTGAAACATACATCAATTTTGAAATAAAAAATTACCAAAGTCATAACTATGCTCCCAGCAGTCGATTTTTTTACCGTATAGAAAAAGTTGATTTTCTTAACAAGAAATACCAAATCAAGCATAACCCTTAGGCTAGTACATATGTCCCTGTCTGGGCTCTATTTTAATTTTAATACTTTTTTTTTCAACCATATATTATTTAATAAAATAATATTACACGTAAATTCAATTTTTTTTTTCAGCAACACATTTTTCGAAAAATTATTATTTTAAATATGTTTTCTTAAAATTTCATTAAAATGGAGCCCAGATGGTAAGAAATAAGAATAAATTGGTGGGCTTTCAATCCCAGATTAAAGCAAATGAGCCTAAGAGTGCATTCTTGGGCTTTCAACCCAAATTTTAAAAAAGGGAAATTATAAAAAATCAGTTGTTTAAAGATTGTTTTTTAAAAATCAAGTCTAAAATTTTTTTAATTCAAAAATCAGGTCATATATTAATAACCCCTAATCCCAAACAAACCCTAAATCATTATTCAATCCTCACCACTCTCCTTCTCCATATTCTCGTCTCTCTCTACCCAATCCCTTACCACCTCCGGAGATTCGAGCAGCGTCATCGCCGGAGATTACAGCAGTGTCTCGCCACTTCTGTGCTGCTCTTTAACAGTTGGCGACGTGAGCGTCGTCGCCAAACTGTCGCTGATGTGCCGTCCGTCCTCTCTCTCTCTGTGTGAAAGGCAGCGTGGCGACGCCGACTGATTGCTGTGTGCAACGGCAGTCCAGTTGTCCTTGTGCGGCTGTTCATCGCCGCTGCGCACGGTGCGATCCAATTGTCCTCTTTTTTTTTTTAATTTGGTGGTTGGGTGCGATGATGCTGTGCAGTGGTGGTTGTGGTGCTGTGTGAGGTGGTGGTGGGCGGTGCTCTGTCCGGTGGTTTGGTGCGGTGGTGTGTTGTGTGTGGTGCAGTGGTGTGTTGTGTGTGGTGCGGTGTGTTGTGGGTGCTGTGTGGTATTGTTTTGGCGGTTGTGGCTGGTGGTATGTCCGGTGTTGTTGCAGTAGTGGCGACGGGGGTGGAGGTTCAGAGGTGGTAGGCTTGGGGTTTTTTTGTTGGGTTGTGATTGTGGTGTGGTGATGCCTACGTTGTTGGTACAGGTTGTTGGTGGGTTGCAAAATGGTGGTGGTGGTGGTTCGTTTCTGTGGTGGTTGTGTGTTTCCTATGGCGGAGGTGTTACGTTTCTGTTGGTGGTGGTGTGACGGTGCGGTCCAGATGGTGGTGCAGTGGATCTAGGTGGTGGTGTAGTGATTTATTGGCAGTGACTTTGTTGTTGGTAGTGTTGTAGTGCCGTGGCGGTTGCGGCGGTGACGGCGGCGGTTGTTGCAAGTGGCTGTAGTGGTCAACCTGGTAGTGTTGGAGAGGGTGGTCGAAAGTGGCCATAGTGGTAGTGCCGGTGGTCTGTGACCAAATATTTGGTTATCTGTGACCAAATGTTTGTTAATTTGTGACCAATTACTCAACTGTGACCTAAAAATTTAATAATATGTGACTCAAAAATATAATTTGTGACCAACCTTTTTTTATCTGTGACCGTAAAAAAATTTGTGACCAACTAATTTTGAAATCTGTGACCAACGAATGAAATGTGACCTATAAAATTTTTGAACTGTGACCATAAAATAATCTGTGACCTATTAAAATTATTATTTGTGACTGAAAAATAATATGTGACTAATTAAATTATAAATCTGTGACCGGAATGATTGCCGAATAGTCGACGGAATGATCGTCGGAATAATCGTCGGAGAAGAGTGATGGTCGGAATGGTCACCGGAATAGCCCCCGGAGCGGTAGGGGTGGTTCATGTGGGGTGTGTTTATTACTTTATTATATTATATTATATTAGAATTAAAAAAAACATGATTTTTGAATTTTCAAACTATAAACATGATTTTTGAATTGGTGTAAACTAAACACGTTATTTATGAATTTTTCCCTTTAAAAAGGGGGGGGGGGGGAATGGGAACAATACATGACTCCTAGTTTTAAAGATTACATTTCATAACTAACAAACTCATTAAATAATTTCAAAAATCAGGTGGCAAATAAATTTATTAAATATTAAAATATAATATAATATACATTAATTATTTCTATCCATGCCACCTCACCTACCACATCCTATCACCCTACTACACCACCTTCCCTCCACCTCTCCACTGGAGACGACCATCAGCTCTGGCAACCTCTCCGATGACTTCTCAAGCGGCTGCTCCGGTGGCTCAAAGATTTCCAAAAAATTAAAAATTGAAAATCACACGCCACCCCCATGGATCTACCTACCACCACCTCATCCCTGTCTCCACCTCCTAAAAAATTATCGGAAAAAAATGTGTGTTCAGTGTGATTGTATGTGACTAATTGTGACAAAGTGTAATCCCGTGCCACCAAATTCAAATAAATTTTCGTTGAGGCTCACATCAAGCAAAGACAGGAGTTTATCGAGAGAATCCAGAGGTTGAAGAAACCTGTTCCCAACAACCACCAACGCCGCCTGTACCAGCACCACCGCGACCACCACAACCACCATCTACACTCTTCCCCACCTTGACCACCATCTCCACCACACCGCACTACCACCACCAACCAAAAAATCCTCAAACCTACCATCATTGTTGTCGCCTTCGTCGCCACGACGACCACCAATAGTGTCACTGCAATCATCACCATCTCCATCACAGCCATCACCACAACTACCATCTCCTCTATCTTCGTCTTAACCACACCGCAACAGCCAACCTCACTAAAAAAACCCCAAACCGCCACCACCACCACGACCACCCCAGCAATCGCGATACCACACCACGACCACCACCAACAACCGCCAAAATCAGCACCACCACAGCCACCCCCAACAACTGCAAACACAATAAAAAAACAGAGATAAAATCAACAATAATCTGTACGATTTGCAACTTCACAGTCAGAACTCAGGGCCGCCACCTGCCTCCGTCACACACCACCACCCCTTTTCTTCTCCGGCCCGATTTGCAGCACCAGCCATTTGTCCATCGCGCCCATAGATAAAATGGCCACTTGTGACCAGAGATTTGAAGCCGGAGAAATCTAGATTCGGAAATCACAAAAGCCACGCCAACCGCCGCCACTCGAGGCTGGTGGTGAAGCCATTGCTCCAAGTAGGCGTCAAATACAAAGCGAAGAGCCTCAGCCAAAAAAAACGTCCGGCTCCTCCTCATTTTGGCTCTTAGCCTCCATCTCAGGATCTTCCACTTTCTTCTTTTTCTTCTGCTTCTTATTCCCTCTCAAATTTCTCCTCCTCTACTTCAAATTCATCTTCATCGCCTCCAGCTCGGCGAATATTTAGCGCCTCCAACCCGGCGAGAAGATAGAAATGCTGATAAGGTTTTGGGGGGGAGGTAGCGGTGCCGGAAGGAGAGAGAGAGAGAAGATACCGAGAGAAAAAAGAGGGCTGAGTGGGTCTGGGAATAAATGGATGGGCAGGGGAGAGGAGTTGGGGTGATGAAATATGTAGATTTAAAATTTTATTAATTACAATTAATAATCCTAATTTCTACATGATTTTTGAAATGTAAACGTTATCACCTGATTTTTGAATTGTAATCTTGAAAAGAAGGGTTTTAGGTAATTTTCTCAAAAAAAAAATAAAATTAAAACATTCTAAAAGAAAATTAATAAGAAAATAAAACAAAATATGAAATTTCGGAAAGCCCTAAAGCCCTAAACCAATAACCCCTTCTCCAAGTTCGGTCTCTAAACCCCTCTCTTTCTGCTCTCTTGTTCTCCTGATTTTGATTTGTCATCTCCATTTCCATCAAAAGGTACACCGATCCCATTTTCCTTTTTCTCCCTTTAGATGAACCTATGAATTTTTTCGTGTAATATATGAGCGAGCTCGATTAATTTGGATGCATGTCTAAATTTTGTGTGTTATTTTGCTTGAATTTCATTTTTGATCTAATAGAAATTAAAGTCGGCAGTATAACTAGAGTTTGATGGCTCATCTTTTTTCTTTTAATAGTTTTGAATACTTGAGCAGTCCTGCCCTGTGGGTGTCGGTGAGGCCGTTGGTGCTCGTTTTGTGTTGTTCCATATTGCATTTCACATTACTGGAGAAGAAACAAATTTTTTGTTTAATTATGTGTTATTTGGTAAACGTTATTGGGTCAATTTGATGCTTCAAGCTTTTAACCTGTGCGTATCTAGATTCAGGTCATAGTGTAATTGATTTGGCCTTTGATTTTTATCAATTATGTTGCACCAAAAAAACATATCTATTTAATGTCTCTCAGTCCACTGGTAACTGGTCCTTTGAGAGAAAGATGTTGTCCATTGGCATTGTACACCATAATTCACACTTGCTCTCATTTCTGTGAAACAAATGTTTTTAGAAAATAAGATGACCATTTTGCTATTCTGTATTGGTAAGTCTATCCGAGGCACAAAACTTATTCACTTCTAGAGAAATACGAGGGTTGAGACTTTGTCAGTTGTATGCTATACATGGTATCTTCAGACTAAGCACTTTTTCCATAACCTATTGAAGGCCTCTTTGGGCATATAACTTACACAGCAGCAAGCTCAATCTTGCATATTTTACCTTCTTCATTTAACTTGACATGTCATGCTTTGTCATTTGTATTCAATACAATTGATTATAAAATAAGCTGGAAGTTCTTTTTTAACAATCACACTTTTCTAAAGCTTAATATCTGATGGAATGGGACTGTGATTTGCTTCTGCAGAAGTTTAGAAGATGAATCTGAACAATGTCAAGGTTCCCAAGATGCCTGGTGGGGGTGCTGCATCTGCTTTAATTAAATTGGGTGTCATTGCTGGGCTTGGTGTGTATGGAGTTTCAAACAGCCTATACAACGTTGAGGGAGGGCATAGAGCTGTCGTTTTCAACCGTATTATCGGTATCAAAGATAAGGTATTTTCTTGCTTCCAATTTCTAAGAGCAGACTTGACATTTACGTGCTTTTCTGAATGCTTGTAATGTTTTGAATTAGTTTCAATACCTAGTGCATGTTTCTCTACTTGCTCAGTTTTACTGTTTTTGTCATCTAAGTAAATGGGTGTTTGTGATTCTGCTCAACTGGTATAATTTACAGCTTTATAAAGTACCATTTTGTGAGCTATCCAGCTCAGGCTTTATATGCAACTCCTCTCTCAGGAAAGACTGCCTCCTTTGTGTTCACTTTACTAAAATCTCCTTACTTCAGTGGATTTCTAAACAGAAAAAAATATATTAGAAAATTGCATTTTACCTCTCCATTTACTATGGATAGCTACTAAATCTCTTATGACATGTGATGCATTGCCACCTACTTATCTATCTTCTAGCTTGTTATGTGGCAATGCACGTGAATGCATCTTATCACCTTGAATTCAGAGCTACAAGAGAATACCAACAGTGATACAGTGAAAGTATTGACTTTTGTATATACATGTTATTAATGATTTAACGTTATGCGGAAAAAGCATTTTGTGTCAAAGAAGTAGAACAAGATAAGCAACTTCTCTCTGATTTATTTGTATCTGGAGGGGAGATATTTCTGGACAAATGACAGGACCATTATAAAGCATAATTCCTGGTATGTCCAGTTTGGCTAAATCTTGCAATCCATTCTATATATTATTTTGGATCCATTCTGCAATGTTTCTGACCTTAAGTTGACTAAAGAATATTGTGTAGAGGAGGATATTTTTGTGATTTCTGCATTCCAATTTGTATTACTATGAAAGAAGTGAGTGGGATTTGGATGGCTTTGTCATGCATGCTTTGCCCTGGTGTAAATGTTGAAAATACCATATTCTTAGAATTTCCACAATTCTTCACCAGTACAGGAAGTAACAAAATTTGGTATCTTCATTATGTTGTCTTCAAATGGTGCCTCGATTCTGTGATATATTCTCTATGCATGTATTGTTTCTCAATTTTTTTCATATATTCTCACTAGCTGCGATTATGGTCAGTAGCCTATAGCTTTCTATATGAACACTTTTACCATGAATCTAGAGCTTCAGTCTTTTATATATTCAATCTTTGCTAAGAAATATGTCGTTATATTTATTTTCATGTTGGATTTATAGGTTTATCCTGAAGGAACACACTTGATGATCCCATGGTTTGAGAGGCCAATCATTTATGATGTTCGTGCACGACCACATTTAGTGGAGAGCACTTCTGGTAGTCGTGACCTTCAGATGGTAAACGTCCACCCCTCCCACTTGAACACACACATGCACTCAAATCCATTTTGAGGTTTGGAGCCCCCCTTACGCAAGGGAAAGATCCCAGAATTTTGTTTCTCCATCTATATTCTACTTGTCACTTGAATATATGGGAACACATCCTATCCTCTATGATCACACACTGTTTTTCTTTCCTTTTTTTGTGGATATCATGAGGATGATAGGAATAATCTCCTGTTGGGGAGAGATTGTCCGCCTAATCCGAACCAATCATATTCTTGTGATTGGGTATTGTGGAAATAGATGTTAGTATCTTTTGGCTTATGTATTAGAGTGCATTAAGTGCTTCTTTGTTGATAAATGGACCTTGTTTTATGCATATAAAAAGCCTTCATATTTGGTTGGTTCTTTATCTGTGCAGGTAAAAATTGGTCTGCGGGTTCTCACTCGTCCAGTGCCCGACCAATTACCCTCTATATACCGAACTCTCGGTGAAAACTACAATGAGAGAGTCCTGCCTTCAATTATTCATGAAACTTTGAAAGCTGTTGTTGCCCAGTATAACGCTAGTCAGCTTATCACCCAGAGAGAGGTTAGTTGCTATGCCATTCTTTTCAGACTATTGACATTTCTTTCTGAGGTCTTGATTAGTAAGAAGAACAGTTAAAGGTTGTACCGGTTATATACTACTGGTTTCGGGTTATGTTCATTCAGTTAGAAAATTATTCTGAATAGGTAATTGAATGACGAGTTCCATCGAATGGGATTTTATTCTAATGAATCTTCGAGATGAAAGCACGAATTGGAGCTTTAGAGATAGTAATATTGAATGAAGTGGCAACTTTAGTCACTGGATTTCCTCTATTCAGCAGTAAATCAAACAATGTTTGGGCAGAAGTTGGATAAATAATGTTAGCCCTAGTATTATAAGCAGGTTTGTTATGGGTAAGAGATATTATGCTTTTGGCTTTCTGTGTAACCGTCATATATCTCTAAATAAGAGTGAAAATCTTGTAAGTAACATTATGCATGGAAAAAACAAGATATTAACTTGAGAAACTTTAATAAAAGTGGATATTTGGTAATTGAGTAACCATGAAATGAAAAAAAATTACTCCTGTGTAAACATATTGAAGACATGGAATACCTATTAGATGGCTGGGGCGCAATGAGAAAGATCAATTAACGCATCAGTTTAAGAAATGACATTATAGCTTCTAAAGGTAAGCCTGAGTACAGGGGAAGAAAAAAAAATTGAAAAGGTGTTATAATCTCATTTCATGGTTAGATCTAATAAAAGATGGTTCATTCACTTTTGGTGGGAGTTAGGGATGTGCAGTAGAGTCAAGTTGAGTTTACTTCTGTAATATAACTGGTTCATATTGTTTGTGTTTTATGTAGGCTGTCAGTCGGGAAATAAGGAAAATATTGACAGAGAGAGCTGCCTACTTCAACATTGCATTGGATGATGTGTCCATTACAACCCTGACTTTTGGTAAGGAATTCACAGCTGCAATTGAAGCTAAACAGGTAGCTGCACAAGAGGCTGAGAGAGCTAAGTTTGTGGTGGAAAAAGCTGAGCAAGACAAACAAAGTGCTATTATTAGAGCACAGGTAAGAAACAACTCTGAATTTTTTATCGTTTGGTCAGTATCTCGTCTGAGGGTAACTTCAAAGTTTGTCACTGCAAATATGATGTATGCATAACATTTTTGTGATTTTTTAGTGCTTACTGTTACATTTATAGCCCAACAAGGTCAAACTATAGCTTTTACAATAGTAGACGGCTCTAGTTTTTGTCCTCAACAACAGATTTTCATTTCAGTTTGGAAATTGTCATTGCACTTGATTATTACAAACTTCTATCTCTTTGTCTACTAGGGTGAGGCCAAGAGTGCTCAGCTGATTGGTCAAGCTATCGCCAACAATCCAGCATTTATCACACTGAGAAGGATCGAAGCATCTCGGGAAATTTCACATACTATTGCAAATTCCAACAACAAGGTGTTCTTAAATTCTGATGATCTCTTGCTGAACCTTCAAAATTTGAAGTTGGAGGCTGGGAGGAAGTAACAATGCAAGAAGGATGAACTTTTTATTGAGATTTTTCGGCCCGCTTAAGTAATGGGAATGTCTTGTTAGTTGGCAGTGACATGTAAAACTCATTCTGTTTCTTGTACTCCTAAGACATGGAATTGGGAAACTAGTTCCTTAAAAAGGCAAATCTTTCTGACATGCTCTTGAAATTTTTGATTGAGATTCCAAGACGCGTCTCAATTGTTGTCTTTCTGATTAGTCTATGATGTTTTTGCTCAAAAAATAAACCCTTTATGGCAGCAGGTGCTGTATTAGAACTCCTGCTTACCCTTCAAGATTTCTTCTGCATATTTTCAATTATCTTGAATGTGGTTTGATTTATCATGTAGCATGATATTATTAAATTTACGTAAATTGTGACTCAAAAGTGATTTTATGGTGCCTGGGAGGATCCCAAGATTAGAAAGAGAAAAAAAATCGATATTTACTCTTGGTGGTAACTAGGTGATGTATCCTGAAATTCAAGAGTTTTGAAGGCTAAATAAAGCAGCAATATAATAAGACAAGAAAGAGGGTTTTTTTCTTGGATAATTCTACTTGTAGAATCTTGGTTGATAACTTCTCACGTGTGTGCGGGGTTCATGTGTTTAAAAAATTCAACAACAAAAAAGTAGATCTCCATGTGAGTGGTTGTCTATCGAGATTATACAACTAGCATGGTCCTTCTTTCTTTCTTTTTGTTATTCCAATTATTAGAGTTGAATAGGAGAATGGCACACGCAAGATACTCATATTCAATGGCTATAAGCAAAGCACAGAAAGTTAAAGATAATGCTTATGTTTGATCAATCATGTGTAAGCACAGCACGTTGGTTTATTGTTCTCCTCCTGTTTTATGAAACTACGTTCTATAAATATCTTTAGTTTATAAAAAAATTTATAATCTTTTTAAGTAAGTCGAGTACCTTACATAAAATTCGTAATCATTTAGAAAATTCAAGATCCGACTATTTGCAACGGGAATGGATAGATTTAGCTAAAAATCTTGATGGTTCGATCTGATTTTTTCGATTTGACTTTTTGACCAACTTTAACCTTGATTGTGCTGATGCTCGGTCCAATTTTCATTTTATTTTTACACACAGAATGTGTGCTAAAAATAATGAAAGAGCTAAAATTACACGTAACGTGGCACCGTTGAGTTCACGTAACACCCCATAATAATTTCAACAGATAATACCAAGGCCGCGGGCCCATCTTCATGACGTCACACCAATGACCTCCTCCTTGCGGACCGTCCGGAAGCGGTTTCTTTTGTCTTGTAAGGTCTAGTGCCGAATTTTCATTTACAATTAATACATTTCCTTTTTTTTTTCTTTGTTTGGAAACTGAAATAAAATTATCGTTTTTCTTAAAAAAAGGAAAGAAAAGATGTTACAGTTCAAAATTACAATTTGGCTTTGCTTTTTGTTAAATTACAATTTAGGAAAATATTTTAATAACAGGCATGAAACTGTAGAAACAAAGATAAATTGAGTGAGGTCAAGGGTAATGAATCAAGGGCATTCATGGAAGAAATGAGCCAAAATAAATTATGATTTGTTTATATTGTCATCCCAATTTTTATTTGATAAACTACATTTTAATTGCAGTTAAACTTCTCAATTTTTACTCAATATAACAATTATTTCCTTTAATTGTTTTTTCTGTCGAATTCTTATCTTTAATATTCCATTGATTACTATGTCTCGTACTTGATGATGATTTATATCAAAATATTTTGTTTTCATATTTTAAAATGAGGAAAATATAATGAAAAAATAAGTTATTTTACGTCATTTCAACAAACTTTTAGATATAAAATTGTTATTAGATACAAAGTATTAACAATGAAAAGTTTGATGATAAGAATGATATGAAAAATCGTTAGAAATATAAGTATTATAATGAGTAAAAATTAACAATACCAAATGCAATTAAAAAGTGGTGCAAGAAATAAATATTGTGGTATGAATATAATTACTTTACTGTCTGAGGTTCTAGAATTTCGCCAACCAATCTTCCTAAAGACAATAAGCTCATATTTGATTGCCCTCAGGGCACAACTCCAAGTGGTAAAAGGGGAAGGTGGAAAAACTCCAACTTTATTTGAAGCTGCTGTGTCAAGGGTTCGAATTCTGAAATATGGATTTGGCCTTTGGGTAAGTGCAAGTGTACAAGCAGCTTTCCACCCTGTACCCTTGGGGGGCATAACCTGCGATTTACCTCCTTCACCAAGGTCCAGGGCAAGGCAAGGCAGGTGGGGACCGCTAAGGATGCGGTTCATCCTTTAATAAGCTCTTATTTGATGTGATTAAAATTAGATTTTTAATATATTTTGATAAAAGTTGATGAAATATGTAATTGAAGATTTGTGAATTTCATAAAATTTATAGTTAAAATTAATTGTTGATTTTAATTTTAATCATTACCAAACGTGTGTATATTTTTTACTAACAAATTTATATACCTAGCATTTGGTTGAAGTTGACTGCATTTTTATCGTATTCGGTAAAACTTAACGTACAAATTATAAATACAATATTAAGAAATTAAAAAAAATTATGTAAAAAAGATATGCATTGCAATTATATTTGATCGAGTATATATTATATTAATTTTAAAATTTATTTTCAACCACATATTTTTCAATAAAATAATATTTTTCATCACATCAATAATTTTTCCTTATTTTTTAATCATATATTCTTCATCATATCACTATTTAAAATATATTATTTTCTCAATAATATTCATCAAACACACCTTAAGGAAAACGAGAAAGGGGTAGATTTTAGTGGACCATGGGCGGTGGTGACATAAAATAACACTAGCCACAACTTTTGAACTGCGTGTGGACTGAGAAGTCTTATTTTCCTGACAAGTCACCCACCCCCCCCCCCCCCCCACCAACAAAATCACTGAGGTGATTTGAAGAACATGGTTAAGGATAATGCAGTGATTGTGTTTGGGAAAAAAGGTTGCTGCATGAGTTATGTAGTCAAACGTTTGTTACAAGGCTTAGGCGTGAATCCGGCTGTGTACGAGGTTGATGAGGAGGACGAGAATGCAGTTGTCGTTGAGCTCGAGGGGATTGGGGCAGGGGACCGGAAAGAGCGCCGGATGCAGTTTCCGGAGGTGTTCATCGGAGGGCGGTGGATTGGAGGGCTGGAGCAGATCATGGCTACTCATATTACAGGAGAGTTGACTCCTCTATTGAAGCAAGCTGGTGCTTTATGGTTATGAAATTTTACCTTTTCTAACTGTTCGTAAATTTCTATGTTCTAATTTATCTTTTGTCTTCTTTTTTTTTTTTTTTTCCTCCCCTCTTTTTCTTTGTTTTCCTTCTTAATAATGGACGAAGGAGATTGAAAGGTTTGAAGGGCTACTACGTCTTTTATTAGAACCTTAGGGGTTGTTCTTTTTTTTTTTTTCTCGATTTTGTGTTTTGAGTTTTAAATTCATTTTGAGTATTTATTTTGAAATTGCTGAAAATATGTTTTTTTTGGCATTTTAAAAAATTGTTTGAAAACACCCAAAACGTTTTTTAAAATTTTTGACTTGATTATAACTGAAAATACCCAAAACGATAAATTATCGTTTGTGTTTTCTTTGTAAATTTTTAACTTGTTATGAAAAACATTTTTTCGAAAATAGGAAAGATAACGCGTTTTCACTGTTTTGAAAAATCGAAAACAGAAAACGGTTTGAAAATGGTAAAGAAAACAGACCCTTAATTGTCGCGAAAAAAGGACTTATTTGATTTCAAATCGAGATTCTAGTTCAAGGGAACGAGAATAAATTTATTTATTTCTAGTTTCAAGACGGCAAATTAAAACCACTAACTCAAGTTTCCAACTGAGAGAAGTTGTCTCAAAAGTGTTTGGATCTAACTAATCAGTAATTGGAGATTAACTGACAGTAAATTCATTGGCATTTGAATTTAGCATGGTCGTTTGTAACCAGATTATTGGAGATGTTCGGTTGGTGATTAATTATTGACAACTTACTAACTTATAATTGATAGACCATAATTATTTTCATTAGTGCCTTGATTTTAGGGTATAACTCCCGTAACTCATTTGTAATAGTTTGTATCTTGATTTTAGGGTGTAACTCCCGTAACTCACATGTAATTAGCTGTAATTGATCCTATAATCGACCCATATGTACTTGTGTATATTCTCATCAATACATGAATGAATATCATCACTTTTCTCTACCAAACAAGTGAAACAACCAATCCAAACGGTTTCAACCCACAACCAATATATTCACCTCGATTGCTCATCAATCTTACTCACAAAGAACAAGATAACGATGATGATTTGTAAGCCATAAAGGCACGGGAAAAACAATGGAAGAAGACACAAAGAGAAGGCCAAATACAAAAAGAAAGCCACCGATTTTTCTCTCCACTAAGGAAGCCGTTTTTCAAGCAAGAAGGCAGCCACGTTTGCTCTCAATTCACAACACAAATCGCACACTTTACGACTAGGGTAAAGACACACACACACGCACATATATATGAATTATTTCCAACGGCCCACGTTGTTTTCAGGTCGAGTCTTTAGACTTGGTTGTAGGTAATAATTTAATACAACGTTTACATCATAACCCAAGATTCATTGGGTATCAAAACCCAATAAATCTCCATCTGATACCCAATCAACCTATAAGGAATTAAAACACAAAATTAACGCTTGCATAATCAAGACAACCAATAAAATTGGGATCACAGACTTTATCTCGTATTTCAAACCTGAAACACATATCATACATGCTTCATGTATTCACCATCAAATAACATCCAAGTAGAAGTAGATAATACCGGTAAAAATAAGAGCAAATAATCATGCCATAAAGATATAATATAGGATAACCCATAGATCTTTTTCAAAATACGTTCACACAAAATATGAGATTAACGCTAAGTCAATCAATCAAACGGTCTAAACACACATACAACAAATGCATAAATGACCCCACGAAAAGATCTCATCACACTTATCATATCACATTATGTGTTGCTCGCACATCGAGAACACATATCTCCTCTCATCGTCCAACACTCTCACTAGACTGATCGCTCAACTCATGTCTAACTCGTAGACCTCTATAGATTCTAAGTCTTTAGGATAATTATCTATCACCACATCACTTCTCCTAACTTAAATGAATAATGAGTCTCTACCTAACAGAAGTGATCGGACTGCCTCTCTCACACTCCACCTGATCAGAGTCTTTTCACAAATAAATGATTCAAACATTTAATCATCTCTTCACTCTTGATTCAAATGTCACACTTCATATCCTTGGTACAAACCACCAATGTACCCCTAGGTATCTATATTACATCTCACCAATAGACATACAACATACTACTGATGCATCTTAACCCACTATACATGCAAACAATTATACCAAGTAATTAAATTGTTCTCAAATTCATGCAAATGCATATATCAAACACATTAAAATGCAACATATAACCATACAATAGAAATAAGCAATCAACACATACAGAAATGATTACACACGGATGCACATGCAGTATCTATGTTTACTCTTAATAAACCTCACTGGGGTCATTGCTCGATCCTATAACCACATTCGTCTCGTCTTGTCTCGTCTCTCATCTTATCTTTTCTTTTATTATCATTTTTAGGACAACTTATTTCATAATGTCCAAATTTACTGCAGTCAAAATACATCTTACTTTTCACACTTGCCTTAGACCTACATTTGCCATCAAAAGTTTTATGAAAAAAATTTCATTTTGCCAAATTGAAAAATCACATTTTTCATTTAAAAAACACAACTCAAAATATATTGTCATTTGACCAAAAAATGCACAAAATGCAACCAACAACGCCCACAAGCAAAGTACCGACATAATTTGCACAAAATAGTCAAATAAACTTTCCTAAAGTCACTTGCAATTCTAATAATGAAAAAATAATTGACAACAAATTCACGAAAAATTTAAGGCAAATAATTAACAAGTAGTTCTTAAATCTAGCAATAGGCAATGGTTACCCCTTCACGATAACCCCAATCATAATGTCACCCCACACGATAACTTTTAGTGCGAAAAGTAAATAATTATCCTACATAAATACCATAACTATAATAATAAAAGGTAAATAATACGATACAGAGTTGACTACATCTGAAGGTCCGTAAATATCGAGAGATGCAAATTCACAGCTTTAGGGCTATCATTATTCGTCCTAAAGCTTCCAACAACCACAACAACACAAAACGACACCCGAACGTCATCCAATTTTCAC